TTATCTCTCTTATTCATGGACGTTGATAACACACGTCATATTAGTAAATTATTTAAATCTGTATTTTTTATTTTCTTGCATTATTAATCTTTTCGGTTTAGTAAATTATTTAAATCTGTATTTTTTATTTTCTTGCATTATTAATCTTTTCGGTTAGTAACTTATTTAAATCTGTATTTTTTATTTTCTTGCATTATTAATCTTTTCGGTTTCTTTTTCACTGTTATATTAGTAAATTATTTAAATCTGTATTTTTTATTTTCTTGCATTATTAATCTTTTCGGTTTCTTTTTCACTGTTATCTACACAATATATTATGCACTTCACTCTATGTCATTGTTGCCACCTTGCACTTTGATTGGCTCTCCTTATTTGGTGGAAGGGCAACTTTGACAATTTTTCAAACACTCAAGGGTCACTCATTATTATTGAACTTTTGGTTTTCTTTTTAGTGAATGTGAAGGATTAAGGGAAAAGAAGATTTGTTTTAAGGTAAATGCTACATAATAATTATTTGAATTTTGCTTTGTGTAGATTTATTTTGTGTGGTTAAGGAAAAAACAGAAGCTATCTAAAGTTGTTTAACTCCTAAATGAGATAATGCTTGTGAATTGGATTTTGAGATGATAAAAATGATATATCATTGTGGCGTGGATGTTTGGGAAGAGGTTATTTATGAATAGGTTTTTTCGCATTAGGGTTTTACGTTAAACAGATAAACCAAGCATCAACCTTAAAAAGTTTTAGAATCTTAACTTCACAGGAATTTCGGCAAACATGAAGAGGAAGAAAAATCGGAAATCTTGGCAAAATCCAATCAATTTATATTTTTTAATCTTTTAATTTTCAAATTAGCATGTCTTATTTTTACATTAAATTTTGAAAGGTAAGATCGCATGTTTAGTCGTCGGTTAAACAATAATTCCATCCATATCGTATCGACTCGATATTTGTGTCCAATTAGATCAAACAAAAAAATTCAATTTTTTTTACTCTATGTAATTGCTTAAAGTCGAGATAGGTTTTAATAGAAAATTATTAAACGTAAAATATGGTCCAATGGAATAACTGAAATGCTTCTTCAACCTAACTACATTGTTGTTTACATCTGAGTAGTTCCATTAACAATTACAAAATAGTTGTATAATGATAAACCATTAATCATGAGTCATTGAAATTTTCCATCCGACAACCGCTCCACTTTTGAAAATATAGGATATAGTCAATAAAATATTTAAAAATATGAGCATATTGTTAAAGGTTAAGTTTTAATTATGATAACTAAAGTTCAAATGACTGAATAACTTACAAAGGCCATTTCAAGTCAAAATATTCTTTTGCTAATATTTTTCATTTTTGTCTCTTTCAAAAATATAAATTTAATACATCTATACTAATATTTTTGGATTTGCTTTACATAGTTGTCCAAATAATCTATTTCCATATCACATTTATTTCTCCTCGAATTTTTTTATGTTTAAAATATTAATATTATGTCCATTATTTCCTTTTTAATTCAATATATGAAAATCAACAATATTTAAATTAAAATAGTAATAAAATTTTCAAAGCTTCATTTGCAAGCTAATTATTCACATATAACGAAGATAAAGTTTTTTGTTGATTTTTTTTTATTTAGTGAGGTTTAATATCTCAAGGCATGAAACACAAATTCAATAAAATTATAAAGTTAACGGGCACTAAAAAACATAAACTATCAAAGTACTCTTTTGTACCACCAGTGTATAATACTAAAAACTGAACCACCTATGTTTAAGTAAAAATATACCCAAATGACCACAAACCGGCCAACGGGCCGGATACAACACTAGTATTTGTTAGAGATGCATGTGGATTCTGGAATGTGGATTTAGGGTTGAGAAAAGCAATTCATTGCGTCTGAAAGATAAGTAACTTTTACCCAATCATCGATAAAAAAAAATCAGTAACCTTCGACAATTACGAATGATCGTATCGAAAATGCTACCATATAGGTTAGTTGTTTTTTTTATATTCTAATGGGTATAATTATGATTCTACCAGTAACATATTGGTGTAATCCTATTAATAAATTAAGGCAAAATACACTTCCATAACCATAACTATTCGCGTTGTGGCAATAATAGCCACATTTTGGAAAATACACAGATATAGTCATTCCGTCCATAAAATTAACGGTATACTCATGATTGTTGGCTGGAAAAACGGTTCTTGATGACATGGCATTTTTTTTATCAACGTGGCATGCCAAGTGGAAGGCTACCCTTGTAATTCTATTAATTGAAAGAAAAAAGAAGATCAAAAGTCGCCCTCTTCACTTTACCATTTTAGACTTTTACCCACTTTCAACTTCTCTCCCCATAGTCGAACCCCTACACCATAACTCCTGATCACCGGCCACACCCCTCCGTCGGTCCACCCTCCATCCGGCCCTGGGCTGTGTTATTCCCACAAAAAACCTCTCGCCTTCCTTCTCCTGTCCAAATACTTCATCGGTGCAAATAAAGTCTCTTACTAAAACCAGGGGCGGAGCTAGCATTTAGTGCTCGGGGGGCCGGATTTCATAATACATTACTGCAAAAGACTAAAAAAAATATTAATAATTAAAATATTTAGGTTTAAAAATCTATTTTTATACTAATTTTGTTTTATTATAACCATATAAAATATTTTTCACATTATATTTACTATAAATTAGAATAAGAAAAAATAATGTATTTCAAGAAGCAAAAGTGGTAATAATAGCCACATTTTGGAAAATACACAGATATAGTCATTCCGTCCATAAAATTAACGGTATACTCATGATTGTTGGCTGGAAAAACGGTTCTTGATGACATGGCATTTTTTTTATCAACGTGGCATGCCAAGTGGAAGGCTACCCTTGTAATTCTATTAATTGAAAGAAAAAAGAAGATCAAAAGTCGCCCTCTTCACTTTACCATTTTAGACTTTTACCCACTTTCAACTTCTCTCCCCATAGTCGAACCCCTACACCATAACTCCTGATCGCCGGCCACACCCCTCCGTCGGTCCACCCTCCATCCGGCCCTGGGCTGTGTTATTCCCACAAAAAACCTCTCGCCTTCCTTCTCCTGTCCAAATACTTCATCGGTGCAAATAAAGTCTCTTACTAAAACCAGGGGCGGAGCTAGCATTTAGTGCTCGGGGGGCCGGATTTCATAATACATTACTGCAAAAGACTAAAAAAAATATTAATAATTAAAATATTTAGGTTTAAAAATCTATTTTTATACTAATTTTGTTTTATTATAACCATATAAAATATTTTTCACATTATATTTACTATAAATTAGAATAAGAAAAAATAATGTATTTCAAGAAGCAAAAGTGGTAATTAATTGATGTAAACTACAATTTAAAAAGAGAAATAAAAATTACAAAGTTAATGACTAAAGTATCTAATGCCCGCTTACTATAAAAGAAAAGGAAGGAGAAGTTGTAGTTTAGGTAAACTATCATAAAAGTAATTAACCTAGGGGAAAGCTATAAACTGCTTCCCTTCGGAATCGAACCCGAGACCTTTGGGTAATAAATAGTTCATCTTCCACTGGGCTACAAGAAACTTTATGTCTTAAGTTTGCACGGTTTATATTTTATATATAAATTATAGTTTGTACACACGATCCCGACTTATTTATACGTGACTTTCGAGATTCTCGGGGGGGGGGGGGGGGGGGGGGGGGGGGGGGGGGGATACGGTCACATCCCCTAAGAGGGATGTGAGATTCACATCCAAGGACAATTTGGGTATGAAAAAAAAAATAGAATTTATTATTTATTTATTTTTGTATTAATTACAGATTGGGAATTAAAAACCCAGATTAAATACTTTTTTAATTCAAATCCTACAATTAATACGCTTATATATATATATCTCTCTCTCTCTTTCTTTTCCAGCAACCTCTTCACTCCGACCACCAAAGTTTCTCTGGCCGACGAATTTTTCCGGTGAAACCTCCAATCAGACTCGCTCCGGCCAACTGCAAAAAAACCACTCCGTCAGTGTGCTAGTGATACTGATTTTCATCTAGTGGTACGCTACCAGTAGTTGTGGTACGTACTAGTGGTAGTGGTACGCTACAAATACCACTGGTACCACTACCAGTGAGTAGTGGTAGTACCGCTACCAGTGAATAGTGGTACGATACCACTACCACTGGTAGCGTACCACTAGACAGAAATCAGTACCACTACTCACTGGTACCGCTACCACTGAGTACTGGTACGCTACCATTACCACTGGTAGCGTACCACTAGACAGAAATCAGTACCACTAGAGAATAACATAAAAAAACAAGATCTGGAATCTGGAAAATCTCAGATCTGGAAAAAAATTAAGGAATGAGGAAAGGAGAAGGAAGGGGAGAGGTTGTTACCTAGCGGCGGCGGCTGAGGAGGACGGCGGGAGAGAGATGGCGGTGACAGGAGTTGGAGGGAGGAGAGAGGGCTGCGATGGTGGGAGGCGGAGGACGCGACGGCTGCGGAGGTAGGGAGAGATGGTGGCGGTGGCGACGGGAGGGAAAGACGACGACGGTGGCGACGGGAGGGGGCGGCGGTAGCGGCGGCGACGACAACGGGAGGGAGAGACAAAGAGTAGTTAGGGTTCTCGGGAGAGGAAAGAGAGAGAGGGGAGAGAGGAAGAGTTTTTTTTTCTTCTGAAAATCAGATTATATAGAAAATGAGAAAGGATCCTGTGTGGTAAGTTTTTCTCTTCCAAAAATATCCTTCATTTAATCTAAACCGTTAATTTGAAAAACCAAGAGAGAGGGTGGATCTAATGGATGCGAAGGAGGAAGTGAAAATCACAACCCCATGAGGGTTGTGACGCTATTTAACCCCCCCGAGACATGCTGTAGCTCCGCCCCTGACTAAAACCAAACCCTTGGAACCCCACTAATTTCAGATCGCAACCTTAAATTGGAACAAAAACCATTTGCAGTTATTTGTAGAGACCCAAAGGAAAGGCGAGTGAAGTGATGGCATCGGAAACGGAGACGGTCGCAACGAGGGTGAAGGCAGTGGACGGCGGCAATGTCCAGGCGAGATTGGTTGGTAGAGACTTCAAATCGACTTGCTTCATCGCGAGTTTACCGTCGCCTGAACCGACATCATCTGCTTTCGTCCTAATTGGTGGGTGGATGCAGAGGAACCCACTTCTCCTCTGTCGCCTTCCTCCACCATTCTCATTCTCATATCCCTTCTCCCTCTAATTATCATTCAGATCTGAGTGAAACAAATCGGCAAGAACGAGGGCCACTCGGCAGCGCCGATCGTCGAGACATTGTCGGTGAAAATAATAAAAGAAACACCCTTTTCAGCGCCGTCACTAAGCATCAGGGATCTTTGTTGATCGAAACTCTAACCACCGCCAAGGAAAACGAGGAAGAATGAGGAGGAAATAAAGAAAGCAGAGGTCTTCTCACAAATTGCCTCTGCTTCCAAATCATACAGAGGCGAAAAGCAAACTGAAAAGTTGCCTATCTTCTCCAGATCAGCCACCGCCTCTTCCAATTTTCTTCATCGAGAAATCCAGAGCTTGCAGAAGAGATTGAGAACCTTCAGGGGATAGAAGTTGATTCGCATAGAAGAAGCTAGAGCGGTGGTGGTGGAAGCTTTAGATGAAATTGGGTTCGGCAGTTTCTTCTAGTTTAGATGGAATTGGATCCGGTGGGTGGACGCTCTAACCGTCGGGACCGCTCGAGACGATGATGGCCTATTGTGCATCAGATCTGAAAAAGAAAAGGGGAGATTAAGGAAAATTAAAAATTAAAAAAATAATTTATTTCTAGAAAATTAATTTTTGGGGTTTATATTTATTTTTTAAAATACAATGTGGCATCCACGTGGCATGAGAAGTCTAGTTGGAGATGATGTGTTGTCCAAGTGGCATCCACGTCAGTTTAACATCCACTTAACTGATGACGTCGTTGACAGTGTTAAAGTTTGTAACGGAAATGGCTAAAATTGTCAACCAAGTTTAAAAAACGTGGCTATATTTGTGTATTTTTTGAAATTTGGCTATTATTGTCACAAAGTGTATACTTATGGCTATATAGGTGTATTAAGCTATAAATTAAAACGAAAAATTTAATTAGTATTATACTGATCTAATATCACCAAAACCAGATGGTGTTGCAGAGAATTGCCAATTTAATTGAATAAAATTGACTGGTATAATATTTTCATAATATGTTCGTGCGCATCTTTTATCTATTTTTCCGCCAAAACTACACTAAAACATTCAAACATATTTTCACAATATGTTTGTGTCTACATTCGCTTCTTATTTTAGCCATTTGATTAATGTTTATTCTGAAGAATTAGGAAATTGAATAATTCAATAGTTTTTTTTGGCAAACTCTATTGCCTCCTATCCTCAATGCACAATTCCCCCATCGAGTCCATGAATTCGTTTATGTTAGAGTATTTAAATAGTTAGTGAAAATATATATTAGTGGGAGAAGTAAAGTACAAGTGGTTTTTAAGTTTGTTTTTAACTTTAATTTATTGAATAAAGTGGTTAATGTGCTTTGAGGAAAAGTGTGTTATTTAATTTAACATAAATTGCATTACGCACATAGAATTCGGTATTAAACTTTTGGCTATTAAATTAATTTTTATTAATTAATATCAAATAATTAATTAAATTTGAGTTATGTGAAACGACGTAGCCTTTGAGAAGGGAACTGACGTTTTCTTACAATAAAAAGACGTTTGGTCAGAAGAATTTTTTTCCAATGTTCTTCTTTTTCTTCCTGTTTTCCTTCTCAAGAAAACAAACATAGAAGTCCAGAAAGATTGATTCTTTTGGACTTTGATTGGAGGACTCCTGAGGGTACTTTGCTTAATTCCTACCAGCAATAACGTAATGGGGGCAAATAACATTTTTAGGAGAGTGATAAAAATCACAAACCTTCAATCTATTTTTTCTCCATATTTTTTCCTGACAGTTTATATCATCGGCGGATAGGGGGGGGGGGGGGGGGGGAGGGCACACTGGGCCCGGGCCTAGCTCTCCCTGCCTCCCCAAGACCCAACCCAGCCATAATTCTAATCAATAATTATTTGGGCCCAGCCCCACTGCCCCAGCCGGCCAGCCCGAGCAAATCTGAAATCTCAAAGACCAAAACTAATAATCTCCCGCTCCTATTCCTCTTTAGCTTTCCCTGCAAGTCTGGGACCAAAAAAAAAAAAGAAGACGAACAGACCTGCTCAGCTGCTCTTGCTCGCTGGCGCTCCCCACCTCCCCGACCCCGAGGCCCTCACGGTCTCACCCGGCGCCGGACTGCCGATCCCGGAGATCCCCTCCCCTCCCTGGCCAGCTGGCCTGCCCGCCGCTGTTTACTTTTTTCTCCACAGACCGAGCCGCGCAGCGGCTATAATCAAGTTCCCTACTTCCCTTGATCCCTTCGGCCTTCACAATGACAGTAGTGGTTAGATTTTAGACGACAATTCCCTTGATGACTTAGACGACAAGGACAACATCAAGTCAGCAATAGGTAATTGCAATTTGCCAATTGATCTTACTGTCTTAGTTTACTTAGTCTTATTTACTTAGAAACTAAGTTTGTACAGTGCAATTATGCATTAAGACATTAGCATAGAATTTCATATTAGGATTTCTCATATATCATACTCGGTAGAATTTGTATCCAAATTTACTTTATTACTTAGAATCTAGTCTTTGACTGCGGTGTGTATATGTTTAATTGATTATGCAGATTTCAATATATTTCATCATGACATCTTCTCAACCACCAAATAAAAAGGTGAAAATAACATTGTTTTCTTACTATCAACGTAAGGAATCTGAAACGTGTCAGACCGAAGAAGTTCCTCCTAATGAAGGTCAACCATCTTCCTCTCCAATTCAGAATGAATCATCTACTTATCCTGTATCCGGTAATCTACTTCCATCATCTGATAGTGGAGTTGAAATTGAAAGAGATCCAGGAAAGAGGAAACAAATATGTGATTGGGCTCTTGAGTTAAGAGATGAGGTTAGGAGAAAATACCTAATACACAAGGCTTATCAACCTAAACTCGCATACTATAAGCCGCGAGAATATCCAGATAAAATTCGTCACTTTCAAGAAGCATGGTATTCACAATTTGATTGGTTGGAGTATTCTCCTACAACACATAAAGCATATTGTTTGCCATGTTTTTTGTTTAGAGACAAGATGAATGGGAATCAAACTTCTGCACTAGCAAAGATGGATTTGATAATTGGAAGAGGGTTAATGGTAAGAAATGTGCGTTCCTTGTTCATGTTGGTTCATCAGCTTCTTCAAGCCATAATAAATGTGTTACAGCGGCTGATGCCTTGATGAAACCCTCCGGTCATATTGATAAAGTGATGCACAGAATTGGTGGAGAAGAAGTTCTAAAGCATCGATTGCGGTTGAAAACAACAATTATGGTTGTCAAACAGTTGGCTTTACAAGGAAGTTCTTTTAGAGGGCATGATGAATCTGATGATTCTTTGAATCCGGGGAATGTTATAGCTTGGATTGGTTTTGCAGCGAAGTTGAATGATCAAATCAATAGTGTAGTTCTTCGTAACGCACCAGGAAATGCGAAATACACTTCACCAAGCGTTCAGAAGGAGATATTGGGAATCATAGCAAATAGAGTGCGTTGTAAGATACGCGAGGAGATTGGAGATTCTTGTTTCTCTATTCTTGTTGATGAAGCAGTTGATGAAGCAGGAAGGGAACATATGTCTATTATTTTGAGGTATGTCAGTTCTTCTGGTATAGTAACTGAACGCTTTTTGGCTCTCAAGAGTGTAGCTGATACTTCTGCAGAAACACTAAAACAAGCTATTTGTGACATTCTCTCTCAGTATGACCTTCAAATTGAAAAATTGAGAGGTCAAGGATATGATGGTGCTAGTAATATGTCAGGACCGTTTAATGGAGTCAAGGCATTATTTCTTAGAGATTGCCCATATGCCTATTTTGTCCACTGTTTTGCTCACAGATTACAGTTGGCATTGATTACTTCTGCAAAGGTATGTGATCCTATATGAGATTTCTTTTCCATATTGGATTGTATCATAAACGTTGTGAAGGCTTCTCCTAAACGGATCAGGGAGTTGCAAGCAATTCACAAAAAAGATCTTGATGGTATGTTGGATGTTCGAGAAATTCAATCTGGACAAGGAGCTAATCAAATGACATCCTTAAAGCGTTCGGGGCCAACTCGTTGGGGATCTCATTATCATTCCATATTGAGCATTATAAACATGTTCAATGCAACATGTGTAGTGCTAGAGGATCTTTGTCGTTCTAAAGAAGGAGAACAACGAGCTAAAGCCAGAGGTGCTTCAAAAAATATCAAGACTATTGAGTTTGTGTTCAATCTTCACTTGATGAAAGGGATTATGGATATCACGGATTTTCTTTGTCAAGCATTTCAACAAGAATCTGTTGACATTGTAGCTGCAGTTGGATTTGTTTCCATGGCAAAAGTTAAACTTCAAAAGCTACGGGATGAAGGATGGGACAAGCTACTCCAAGAGGTAAAATCTTTTTGCTCAAAACATGCCATAGAGGTACCTAATATGAATGCTACACTTGGACGTGGTGAGAAGCAAACAACTCTTGAGCACCGCTACCATTTTGAATACTTTAATCAATGCATAGATTTTCAGTTGGGAACATTGAATTCAAGATTCAATGAGTCATCAGTCAGATTGCTTCAGTTGAGTGGTGCACTAGACCCTAAAAGTTCTTTCCGGTCTTTTGTTGAAGAAAATATTTACAGACTTGCTGAAGAGTTTTATCCTCGAGACTTTGAAGGCAATGAGATGAATTGTTTGAAGAATGAGTTAGGATATTATGCCGATCATGTGGTTCATAGTCAGGAATATGATGTTTCTTCCCTTGCAAAATTACTAGAGAAGCTGGTGGAAACAGGGATGGACGCACGATACAGATTGATTTGTCGGTTGATTCGTCTAGTGTTAACATTGCTTGTTTCAACGGCTACTACAGAGAGATCATTTTCAGCAATGAAACATGTGAAGACTGATTTGCGCAACAAGATGGGCGATGAATTTCTTGCTGATTGCTTAACTATTTTCTTTGAGAGAGAGTATGTTATTGGTATGGATGAAGACTCAATTATTGACGAATTTTCTAAATTAAAAGACCTTCGTGTACAATTGACATTGTAATGCAAACTATAATTTTTTTTTTTGTTTACGGTATCTAATTTTATGTTCGAATCCGGCCCAGTGCACTTCTATATACTGGATCCGCCGCTGGTTTATATGCCCAAGCTTTTGCCCCCTTCAGTTCTCAGTTCGTGACTGGAATTCATCACCTTGGATACAATCTCTGCCTTGTAGATCTCCTAGCTGTGCAAGATGGCCTTCTTTTGAT